GATTCCACCTATCTATATTATACGCGCGTAAACAAAATGCCTACGAATCGTTTGAAGGATCGTTACTACGCCTTGGGCAGTTCTATCGGGACATTAATCGCGGCGCCTCGCGCGATTAGAGTTACAGGCGTTGACGCGGTCGGGGCATTAAAACCTCTCTCTCTCTCACGATTCCGCGGGGAATCGGTTCACGCGGCAATCGTGCGTTTTTGCACGCGTGCATGTAACGGAAAGACGATTCGAAAGATCGTGAGATCTCGCAAAGGGGAAGAAAAAAAAAAGGAAAGGAAATAGAAGAGCGGAGGGGAAAAAGAATCACGTGTGTATCCGATATGCCTCGCGTTCGACGCAAATATCACAGCCGGATCGGCAGCCGGATACTGATATGCTAATAGCAGCTCCTCCGCGCGCGATTACGTTACTACGCACAAAATGTCACGCATTTGTCGCAGGAATTCGATCGTAAATCATAGACGCGCGCTAACGGTCGGTTAGCGAGCGATTAGGAGGGGAAGATACAATAAGAGTCGCGAGAGACCGGACGCGCGCGCGCGCGCGGGCGCGCTCGCTCACGGCGTGTATACTGCGCGCGGATCCGGTTCGTTTTTCCACGGCGCAACCGCGCGGTTTCTGCGAAATGGAGCCGAGCCGCTGCCGGTCACGCCTGAGCTGCCTAACGGCGGTACAGAGATATTGCGTTAATGCGTTCCACGTGGGGTCACCCCGGTAGCCGGTGCACCGGCGAGTACTACCGTATCCGCTTCGCGCGCGCGATAGAGAACCGGCGCGGCGGCGCTCGCATGAACGCACGCACGCTCGCGCGGTGTGCCGCTGCCGGCCCGCAGTGCCTCTCATTACGAATCTTACCGCGCCCACGTATAGCGGTATCGCGACTCTATGTGTGTGTGTATGATATTCCTCCGCGGCACGCTTCACCGAGCGTAATGGTATACATGTGTATCGCACCTAGAGGATGAGAAATAAATCCCATATCCCTCCCTCCAATCTTGAGGAATTCCAGTGGATCACAGCGTGTATGAACTTAAATTTGGACGTTGTTGAAAATTGGCGAGTTACTCGTAAACAGGGATTGAGAAGAGAATTATGTTAATAATATATATGAATCATCTTGAGCTTTCTCCGATTTTATTAAAAAATTATCACCGTGGGCTAATCTGTTATTAGAAATTGATTCTAATTGAAATTTAGACTTAATATTGTTCATGAAATAATAGATTATTACTGCGTGTTAGTAAAAGAATATTCTACCGCACAAGTGAATAATGTAAAATAATTGTACTAATTGTTAGATGTTTTCGTTTGTCACCAGTCCTTTTTGCGCTAAGTGACATTTATCGCGGTAGACTTGCGCTGCAGTTTCGAGAGCGTGGCAAAAATGGACGCGGCGGGATGGCACGTAATTTGAGTCGGCTCCGGCGAGAAAATTGACGGATCGCGCATCATGTACTGTATACGGCATCGTGTGACGTCAACGACACGAGAAGCGTTTCCCTCTGTTAACCCACTCGTTAACCCGCTCGCTTATCGACTTTCAATTTTACCGTCTCGAGTCCGGGACGTTCTTTGGTACGTGTTCGTAAATTCACTATATATTTCAAGTAGCAACACCGATAATGCGACTATAATGTAGTATATTATATTTTCCTAAAAAGCCTCTGCTTTCACTGTACCGATTCATTTTATGTTATCCAATCAATGTGGGATTCTGATCAGCATAAGGCAGTTTAAATTAAAGTTTAATCATCGCTGTATTCTTAACTTATTAACTTTAATAAAAACTATAAGAAAAAAAAGAGTTAAACAGTCAATACATTCGAAAAAAGCTGTATCTCTTTTAAAAAAAAAAAAAAAAAGAAGAAGAGAGAAACAAACCATTCATATGTCACAGAATTTATCAGTTTAAAATAAACAAGAGTTACAAACAAAAAAGGCGATAAATGATGATTAAAAGGAAAAGACTCTGAGGCGATAAGTACATTAAAATACATAGTTAGGATTATCGAATCATTTGTCATTTTCCATCATCAGTCATTTTTCTATGGAGAAAATAAACACACCCGAATATCTTGGATATTGCCTGGCGTTGTCACCTTTCTGAATTTTCTGTCGCAGAAAGCGAGGACGGAAGGCGAGAGGCGAAACAGGGTTAAAGGTGGCGGCATGTTGGATTCTCCGGTGACGAAGCCGGCGTTCTATACCAACGCACGCTCGAATTGGGATGCAACGCGTGACGAGGTGAAGCTTTTCCCTCCCTCCGTATACCGTCATATCTATCCCGTCAGCGCGAGGGAAAAGAGAGAGAGAGAGAGAAAATTATAGAGAAAGAAGGAGAGAGGGAGGGGGGGGGGAGAAGGCAGGGAGAATCGTGCTCATGCGCACCGCGTAAATGGGGCAAGCCACTCGATCGTCCACTTTAGAAACGGGGTCACGAAAATTAAATTTTCTGATTAACGACACACGCGCGCATCGGCGTTCCCGTTGGCCCCGCGACGTGTTTCACGACTCTTCTTTCTTTTTAATAGCACGCGTATATCTTTATCCGGCGTCGTCGGTCGGCCAGGGATGTCGCGTTCGCCGGGACATATAAAAGCGCTCTTATACACCGCGCGCTGCATGACGGATTCAATCAGATTCTGGGCGCCTCTAGAGTCTTCAGATCGCGGTTTTTACTTTTTTTTTATCTTGGTTAAAAACTATAGAGTTCGGCCACGAGCAATTTTGTCAAAACACAAAAATGAAATGGAAGAGTGCGTCTCTCTTTTCGCGTATGCTATCTCATTTGAACTTTTGTTATCTTACTCGTTCTACTTCCTGAAGTTGACAAAAACGGCGAGTCGATCAAAAGTTTTGTCATCTTGCGGCCAGACTCAGAGTTAATGTAGGGTTTCTACTCTCTAAAATCTTTGGAGTGAAAACCTAAGGAGTGAATTTTCACTCTGAAAAATTGCCAATAAAAGAATCCCACTCTTTCACCCTGGCTCGATTGTCACTCTTTAGAATTAGACTTCACTCCAAAGCTTCCCAAAGAGAGTAGGTTCCCCCAATTATACCTCTTCGTCTCTTTCTGAAGATGAGAAAAGTCGAGCCGAGATTGAAGTAAATCTGCACATTGCTATAGAAACGGGCATAAATTGTTGATGTCGAAACGTTCGCTTTATCGTCGTCAGGGGGATTGTATCACCTGACGAAATGAGATGACGCCCGGATTCTGTGACTCGAATCTGTCGTCGGGCGAGCGTATGTATCTCTGGAGGAGCCGGGCGTATACACGCACGATCCTCGTGCGATTTACGGGCGGTTAGCGCGCGCGCAAGCGCGTTGTGCCCGCGTCTCTCGCGAGCGTCCCGGGATATGACGCCATATCTCGTACGCGCCGCACGAGTACGCCCGGTATTACGCCTTCGATTCGTTAATCTTCTTAAGGATCGTTAACCCGCTACGCGCCAAGAATACCCGAATCGCGTCGACGCGAAGTCTATAATCGACGCCGCGCGAAGTCGTACGAAGCTTTTACTTTCGAATTTGCGCTTTCCAGCCGAATGAAAACGTGTTTTGTCATCGCCAAGTTTGTTTTGTCTCACCCGTGACTTTCGATTTTCTCATTGAAGCGCGTCCCGTCGACGCTCGAACTACGCAGCTTTCGGTTTTTAACATAGACGTAGTAGATAGTATACTATAGTAGAGATTGCGCGTTTCTCGAACTTACAATAAGATCTCCGGAGCTGGTCGATTGTGTATCTTGAAACGAGGTGAAAATTACGAAAGTGAGCAAATTTATTAAAATCTCGATTGTCATTAATAAAATGTAACTTACGATATTTTAAAACCTTTTATATTTTGGAAATTGTTAAATATTTCGTTGAGAGAGATTTAACATAGCAATATCAGTTACTATTAATGTCGCTGATACTATTTGTATTTTTAATTGTTCAGTTGATAGTATATTCGAAAACTGCGTAGGTGTGACGTACGTGCATTAAACTTCTTTGAAACCAAGAATTTTAATTTTGCAAAATTTCCTGAGATTTCCCTGATTTTCCTGACAGTTTTCTAATTTTCAATTTTATGGAAAACATATAGATCATGATTTCGTCAATTGGTATACCTAAATTTGTTCACTTTTGTAATTTTCACCTCGTTTCAAGACGCACTCTCTACGCTCCGTTAAAAAAAAATTGAACACTTCTCAGCTTCTCTCTTTAACTCTGTCAGCATTTCTTCAACTACTTTGAAAAGAAAGAAAACGATATAAATCAAGTTATTTGTTTGTTTTTAAACCAATAGTGACAACTTGATAGAAATGCTATTCTTATTACGTTCATGGTTTTTAAGAACGTCGCGTGTCGCGGTGGACCGAAGTCAGCAGAGTTAGGGAAAAACCAAAAGTATTTTTCACCGAGAAAATTGGCGCTCGTGGCAATTTGCCTCCCAAGATGTCTATAAATGTTTCAAATTTTTTCAAAAATACCGTGAGGTCCTTCAACACTAAATTTATGATTACATCAACTCGCCTCGCGACGTAACGTTTATCGTTGATTTTTGGTATATACGTACATTTTCTAAATTTTTGTGGAACACCTCACTCTAAAGCAGTCAGCCGGTAAAGAGAAAAGTGACTCAATTTTCAATTTTTAAGAGTAAACTTTCTTTTTTACTCTCCGACATGTAAGATTCGGTTTAAAAATTTCAGAGAGTGTGTATGAAAACGTATATTGAAGAAAAGAAAAAAAAAAAAGAAACGCGATAGCCAGATTGTTGGATATACGTATCTATATGCAAATCTAATTAAATTTGCAATTTAGAATTTCAATTGAACTGCGTACACAGTTCCACAGGCGAGTGACACCAATAAAGTTTGACCACTTGTCACACGTGTGCGTCCGCTTGGCGATCAGAAGTTTGCACACACACACACACACACACACACACACATACACACGCATGCATATACGCACAATGTAAGTTGCCGACGGACTCACCTCTTGCCCGTTCGGGGCAATGACCACGTCGACTTCGTCGAGATGCTGGCGATGCTCCGTGACCTCCGCGTGAATCTCCCTACCGTTGTACGTTAGATAAACCTTCTGACCGGGTACCAGCCGCGCGGCGGTGACGGAACCGAAGCCCGGTCCGATCAGATCGCGATCCGTGTATTCCTTCGGACTCGGCGGACTGCCGCCCGTGATGTCGAAGCGTACGGAGTACAGAGTCTTGGCGGTGACGCTCTTCTGGCCCGGTGACTCGGCGGTCTGCGGCGTCTTCACGGCGCAAATGGCGCCGCAGTAGTACTTGCCGTCCTGACCGGGAGCGCACACCCTGGTGCCGATTATGCTGCGCTTTGCCAGCCTCTTGCCCGTCGACATTATTCGCAGCTTCTACCAGGCGCGACGCGATATCACTTTGGTTTCGCGCAAATCAGAAAGATTCTCGTCTCTCGCTTTCTTCTTTCTTCTTCTTCTTCTTCTTCTTCTTCTTCGGCGTAGCGGAGGATCATTCGATCGTTCTCGTCGATCGTTTTCGAGCGCGGAGTCCCGTTGTGCGTGGCATTCGTTGAACGCGCGACGCGACGCGAAACATTCACGCGATCGACGACACTTCTGTCCTTGACGTGCTCCTGTCCACTCGGCGACACTCTCCGTCCACTGTCCCGCGACGCGTGTGTCACCCCTCGGGATTCGACTGGGTTACGCGATAAGAGACGCTCGTGGAATTAGCGTGAAAAGCGTTCGCACAGCGAACGTTCCCCAACAGAGTCACGCCGCGCACACCGGCTGATCTACACGTGTGTAACGTAAAAGTTCAAGATTCCTCGGAGTATCAATGCGAGAGGCTAACGACACCGCACCCCACTCTCACTCCGAGGAAAGGGAGATCCTTTTAAATTTGACCACGCCGTCTCTTTCACACGCACACACACACATACACGCACGCACGCACACACACGCACACCACGGAGCGAATTCCTAAGAAGGTTTGCTTTAGGTCATCGTACCAACCGACCAGCCTCTCGTCACGCACCAATCACGATATGTTGTGTACCTGCCACCGACGGCGGTGGCAGTGTTAAAACCTCGCAGGGGAGGGGGAGAATCGGTTGCAATAGGACACGCGGCGGCGGTGGCGGCGGCGGCGGCGATCCCGCGAGGATCTCGCTGGAGCTTTAAGCGCTCGAGAAGGGACGCGGCGGCGGCCTCCGTGGCCTGAACACAGAACTCAGCGTATCAACAAAGCGGCGTGCACCACCGCACGATCGGTCGGCCGCGTTTGTCACGCCGTCCGCATATTCGAGGCACTTGCAGGTGATCGATTCGTCGTGGCGATGCGTTGGCGTGCACACGTTGGCTGACAGCATAATAATACGTGGGTAACGCGCGCCGACGTTAGACGGAGATCCGCGTGGTAGACGGCGTCCTAGCCGGGTCGTTAGACTCGTACGTTTAACAGCGATCCGCACAGGAGAAGGACTACTACTCGCGGCGCCCGACATGTGACGCACAGCTGAGCGACCGGGAGGGACTGAGGACAGACTGCCAAGCGGCTTTCACTGCGCCGGCCGGCCGTCCGGGAAAAACAGCTGATAGATAACAACAAACCCACGTGACCCGGCCTCGAGCGCCGATTGGCCGCTCGCGCTGACCTACTTACTCCGATTGGCCCGCCGCCCGGACAACGAGACGAACGGGAAAAAATCGCGAGCTTAGAAGCCTAGGGCAAAGAGCGCCTGCTCGCCCAGACCCTCCACTCCACCATCGCGCTTCCATCCCCTCCCGGCCCCCGCGCGGCGCAATTTCCCTCCCC